GATCAATTAATTGTATGTAGGTTTGTCATACTGAGAGGAGTCGAAACTTTTGAATTACCCTTTAATATTTTGAAAAATTTACTTTTTTCAAATGTAAGGTTATTTCTTATTAATATCATAAGAAATATGTTAATCATACCTCGTTGTTGTTTCAATCTTTGCATAGACATCAGTCAAAAGAAAGCTGATATATACTTCTTTCATTGATAAGAAGAAACTTGAATCTAAGAAATTTAATATTACGAATTCTTCTTGTTAAAATAACCGATACTTCTGATCATGTCGATATATCATCTAAAATCAACGAATCGAAAACGAAGAAAAAAGTACGATATACAATATTGATTTTCTTCTATAACATGACCACGCTCTGTTACTGCAATGCCATTTTTATTAAACAATTCAACTAATTTTTCTTGAGTTTTACTCATCTGCAAAAAAAAACTTCATTTTTGATATAATGAGAATATTGATTTAACAAACAATCTATCTGTGTAGCTTGTAAACAGAATAGAAAAAAAGACAGAATGTGACTAGAGAAAAGAAAAAGAAAGATTAACCGATAGTAAAATTCATCAAAAGAGGTCGCGTTGTACATTTTATTCTTCACTGATATTAATATAAATTCATATCCAGAACAGTTTTTTTGATAAAAGACAAAATTTTTATTTCGCAGACGCAGTGTGTAAAATTGCGTGTACTTTGCATTTAGCAAGATTTCGTACATTTTGATTCTGCACTTTACATTTACTATTCAGAACCTTGCATCACGCTACCCAAGCTTCGCAGTCGTCGTATATTTTTGAAAACGGTTCTCTAATGTTCTCTGTTTTAGACATCTGGCCTATAATTGCTACATATTCCAAAAAAAATTAATAGTTCTTTTAAAGTGATATACATCGTACCGAGAAAAGACAAGCAAATTGATTCTCGTATAACTGGTTTCCTCAACAGCGATACAAATAAAAACTACTGGTAATATATTGATATTTTTTAGTCCACTATCATATTTATTACTCTTAGTAAGTGCTTCCATTTGCTGAGCCATTACATGTGCAAAAGAGAATTTCACAATCTTAGCTCTTTTTCAAAATAGAACCAAAGACAGTGACGAAAAAGACAGACACTATTGTCTTTTAACTGCTCATATCTCCTATTACAGCTACGAAGGAACAACTGATGTTACCCCATTACTACGTAGCATAGATGGTTAAACGATCAGTTCACTATAATTTTTTTTGAGGAAAGCGTTGGTAGTGATTAAAAGACGTATCATAGTAGTTGCGTTGGCTACATCTTCTATATATAATATTGATGTTTCTAAACATTCAATTTGCAATATCGAGAAGAAAACAAACGATCACTATATTCCGTTGTTTTTATGAGATTCTTTTTTTCAATCGTATAATTGAGACATTGTCGTGAATTAAGCGACATTTAGTAAAAAATTAACAATTGAAAATTAAGAATGTTCGCGCCGTAATTCGCATTCATGATTTTGTTAGGATATTTGTTGAACAACAACAAAAGGACAAAGAAAACACAGTTAATTCAACAATCTGTGTCAATTAAAAAAGATATCTCCCTCTACCATTATTGTTCATATTTATATGCATGTGAATTATGAAGCTCTTAGATGCGTCATACAATAATGAGAAAAAACCTATGGTCCTAGTCAGTGAAAAAACAATAACTAAGTATTTGTTTTTTCTTCGTCAAGTTTCCTATTTTATGTTGATTTTATAGTTGTTTTCAATTAATGTGACACTCTAGTTTTTCTCAAATCATTTGAAAATTTTTTTCTAGAACAAAAAGAACTTGTCATATACTTTCCTATCCTATAAATTAGCAAAGGATAACTATGAAGCCTAGAGGTGATAGAGCAACAGGGTCAGCTTTATAAACAATCATCATGCCGCGGTGACGACAGCTTTCTTTTGAAGGACATTGCAAAGCTGGATGAATTTGCATGGGAATCTCATTGATTAATAGCAGCAGTTCTAGTACACTACCGTCATAGCAATGAAATTCGAAACTTTCGTTTGAATATCATCGTGCTACGGCAGGTTTTAAACTGCGATGGGTATCTCTGATAGATCTATTAGAAGAAAAGATAAATCTTGAAAAAATAATATGTTTAATATCTGTTTTTGTTTTAAACTAATAATTCAAGTTTTCTTACTAGTTAATACAAAGAGAGAAAAATCCTCTTAATTGAAAGTTTTCTCAGATTGATTAGTTAATATATAAAATGAACTAATGAAAAAAGGAATTTATAAAAATATTTAGTATGAGAACTCGTCGAAGGAATAAAATTTTTAAGAATATTATTCAATATTTATGAAAGAAGATAAGGAACTTCGCGTAAATTATATGCAAATCATTTTAATTTCCTTTCATCTTGAAAATTTCTCAAGGAGAATAGTTGAGGTTTTCAGAAAAATAAAGTTTTTCAATTGATCTTATATTTATGTTGCAGATTTTTACATGTTGAAGTAAATAAATATAAAATAGCATTATATTATCACATATTCAAGCTAATATATCTGTTTATATTATAACTTCAATGAGAATACGTGCATTCAATTAACTTATTATGCTCTTGAGTGAACACGTAAAACTCAGTTATCAGTAAAGTGCAAGCAGATATTTTGTGAAATCGATCTGCACGGAGTGTTGAAGTATATAGGATAGAAATTTGCATCCATCTCCCTCTTCCATCTCACAGACAGTGTCAGAACCCAATACAGACCGTGAAAGACAGGATCTGAACCCATCATAGACTCTGGTAGACAGCTTGAAGAGAATCTCGGAGATCACGTACAATTAACATCTAATTGGAACATATATGAACTATTTTTTGTTGAAGCTCTACACTGTAATGTAGGCAATTATGAAAAAATATGCCACAATAAAACGAACCAGTTTTTAGCGTATTAGCAACAACAGGTACATCGTGTTTCACATTTTAATCCTGCAGGATTGCGCTGACAGCTTTTTTTTTTGTATTCAAGTCAAAGCCGACAAAACTACATCGAAGCATGTAACAACATGTAAGCTTTCTTCTGATATATATTTCAGACAAGGTTGAGGGTGGGGGAGGGGCAGATTTACGATTTTATTCGACGGGTTCTTTTCAAACACGCACAAACTATTCGATAAAAATAAACATATTGTATAGAGCACAAACAATTTTTACTTCTTTATGTCATGGTGACACAGTTAGAACAATACATATACTAGAAAGAAATGATATTTGTTTTAAAGAAGGGAATACCTTTATGATTTCAAATACAGAAAACAATAAATTTTATAGCAAATGAAAGTTGGTCGAAAATGGAATTTACTAGTATTAAATAGTAAGGGTAAGGAAAGCTTTTCAATGTCGAGTTCAGGAAATTTCTATAATTTTACGGCCCAACACCGGCGAAAAATTCTTTTCATGACGCAGTTCAAATTAGATCTTATTCAAAATGATGAATGTCACAAAGTAATAGGCATTGGATTTGAAAATATTCGAACAATAATCAAAAGTGAAGTTAAAAAAATGCTACGAAAGACGGAACATAATCATTATCAAGAAAAAACTCTTAAAAAAACAGATTTTAGGTGTTTTGACAAATATAGAAACAGACATTGAGTTATTTGCAACTAGTTTATGCTCGTGTCCACCTCGTCTACGTGTTGCAAAAGGACGCTCAGGATTGCCATACTGATTATTGGTTATACACGTCGAACTTAAAAAATAAATATTACTTTATAATATTCATCGCTTTAGAACAGATCTAGTTTAAACTGTCTCATGAAAGGAATTTTTCTATACCGATTCGACATAAAATTGTAAAGTTTTCTGAACTCGACATTGAAAAACGTTCATAACCCTTATTATTTAATACTGATAAATTCCATTTTTGACGAGGTTTAATTTGATATAGAATTTACCATGTGCTCTATTTGGAATAATTGCAGTATCCCTGGAAAAATATTATTTCTCACCTAGTACAAAATTCATTATTTCTTTTCATTGAAATAAACATATTATTTAAGAAAAGGACAGGTCAAAATTATCATATAAAACATTCTGAGATATCTTTTATACAATAGTCAAACTTTGATGTTTACTACTAACTTAAAACCGATATAGATACAACTGTACTGAAAGTTATAACACACGAAAAAAATACAAGACAAGCCAATTGTATATCATCACGAGTTTTCTTCTGAGATTTTTATGATTTCCATGAATATTTTTTATGGAAATAATATCTAGTTGATAATTCCTAAATAGCACAGCAAATATCCATCACAACACACAGAAAAATAAATCGAATGAAAATCTGTTCGACGAATTAGAATTATTTAAATATCAAATAGACATCATCAATTTACTCCAGTAATAATTTTATCAAATAAATGATCCATTTGTGATCATTTAAAAGTAGCTTTATTTGTATTCTTCATTTATTTTTGTATCAGATCCAGCATAGCATATAACTAATAAAAAAGAAATGATCTATTTAATGAAAAAGTGTTAAACTAACTTTCAACGAACCATTAAGTATTTCTTGAACGACTACCTCATAATAAAACAATAATTTTTCAATTAATAAATTTTGTTTTTCTATATTAAATTTCCTTCAAGTCGATTTAAATTATTATTCGATGGTTCACATTCAATTTTAGCTAAATGAAAAACAATTTACTAAGCAAAATGAATAAATAATTACTATTCATTTTCATATTCAGATTCATCGAACTAACAAAATATAGTTTACTTTCTAATGCTGAGATTCCTAGATACTTTTTACTAATATTTGCTGACAATTCTTTCGTATCCTCGTATACACATGTTTTTCCATACTGACGTTTAGTCTTCCCGTATTTGCTTATCTTGAATTTTTATTTAGGCAGCATGTTTTTTTAATGTTTATTAAAAGAAAATGCTGCTTAAATAAAAATACATTCAATGAAAAGAGCGCAACATAGTTTGAGAACCAGAATCAAGTGTTGTAAAACAGTCCACCATTTTTTTTTAGTTCAGTTTTGTATTGATAATCTTCTGGATATGTTTCTTGTAAATATTTTTGAATAAGTGCTCTTTGATCGGCAATTGGATGTAGATTATGATGAGCACTCGCATGTTGTTCCGATGCAATTTTTCTCAAATCTATTAGCTTCATTGCTACATTTGTTTGGTTTTTTAATTCTTGTTCAATTGGATTCAACAGGTGACGAATCATTGGATGATTTTGTACTTGATCACTGAAAACTTCTTTGTTATCTGCGTTTAATAATTGCATAACTTTTGTTTCAATTTTAGACCATTCATCTATACAAAAAAATGATAGTTTTTTTTACGAATTATTTTATTCACATAATAAAATTGAAATAATCTTACTACTTCATCAGCATCTATTTGAATATCCCGCAGTAACGATTTTTATTCAATATTATCTAATCGTTGTTTTAAATGATTAATTACTTTTTTTGTGCCGCTATTTGTATTGTACATGTACCGACACAATATTTTAACTTTTGGTTCTCTTCGGTGATGGACTTGAAAATATTTTCAAATCCATCTTTAACATGAACATCAATATCCAGTGTAGCTAGAATTTGTTCGATATGATTATAAATGTCATTATTCAATGACACTTTTTGAATATTTTCAAAAATAGGTATACATGATTGAAAAGCTTTTTCTTTTTTGCCTCATTATCATTACGAATATTGATGAGATGATGTTGTTCTAATATATTACAAATACGATTAAATTGTTGTTTAAATAAAGTAGTTACAGCTGCAGAAGAACCACAACGCGGCAACCACACTCTTTGATGTGTCCAGCCAATTACACCGATTAGTGTAGAGGGTGTCGTTCTTCTGCAGTTGTACCATAAAGCATTCATAATTGAAATAATAATACATAATAAATAGTAATATATAATGAAGAATAATTTCTGATGAAAAATTAATATCCGATGAAGAATCATAATTATATGATGGAAAATATTAATATATAATGAAGAATAATATACGATGAATGGTTTATCCGAAATATTTAACGAAAAAAAAAAATTTATCATCTGGATTGAGATAAGCTATATATACACAGTGTTTATAATGGAAATCTAAAACAAAGTGTTTAGTACACGTTGTTCTAAAAGAGCAAAATGTACATTTACACGGGTTTTCATAAGCAAAATGTAGTATTGATGTTTTGTATAATAAAAAGCATTTATCATATCTGATTTATCCAGCAAAAAAACGCGCTAATTAATAAGCAAATAGAGTACAAGGAAAAAGCAATCTGTATTTGATTCATTTAGAAAGACTCATCACACAGAAGTACAACACATTAGAATAACACATAAACATTAGAACCTCGATTTAGCGTTTTTTAAATTCTAAATCATCACAAAACCTATCATGGTCGTCTTCATCATTATGAGCATCAGTATGATTTGAACAAAACTAAATTAAATATTGTAATTTTCAATTTTTTTTTGCAGCTATCATATAAGTACCGGGGATTAACTAGCATAAATCTGAAAAAGGAAAAAAATAACAAAGTAAAACAAAGAATGCTATTCAACGAATATTAGAAAAAATAAAATAGATCACTGTGTATTCATTGTAGTCACCGTTTAAGGGAAACAGCGAAATAAGGGGAAAAGTATGAAACTGAATGAAGGCCACAAGAAATCCCTAATGGCGTACCAATAGAATTCAGTGTTTGTAAAGTATGGATGATCCATGTTTCACTACAAATGAATCCCATTGGTTCGCCATTATGGATTTCTTGTGGTCTCCATTCTGTTTCATAATTTTCCCCGTATTTCGCTGTTTGCCTTGAACACGCCTGCCGGGAAGTTTTCAAACTTCAACAGGCCTGCAACTGTTTCGAGAGAGACAGAAGGCGTCCCTAGGCTGCCAGTAACCACAAGTCTTGCATTCAGGCTAGTCCCCTGTCTGCTGGACATTAAACTCCACTGACTCTAGAAAAGACAGATCAACAGTGCGCGAACGCACAAGCAATAACTCATATGTAAAGAACTGAAGAAATTTAAAATTCAGTTATGCGGACTTTGTGAAACAAATATTTATGATTCTGGTACAAAAGTAATTGAAGATTATACAATGATTTATGCTGGTCTACCGAAGGAACAGAAGAGAAGATCCGCGTTTGGTGCGGCAATTTGCTTAAACAAGACCGCAAATAGGGTGTGAAACGATGGTGGATCGGAGTGGACGGCTGCCAGTGAACGCATAACTAGAGTTCGAATGAAATGTACACCAATTGCCATCAGTGTTATCGTTGTATATGCTCCAGTTAATCCAACTAACAAAGAAATGGCTGCGAAAAGTGATGATTTCTATATTAGTCTTCAAGAAACCATTGACAAATTGCCAAGTAATGAATTGTATATTATCATGGGGGATTTTAATGCAAGAGTAGGTCAACGGCAACATCTAAATGGACATTGAATTATAGGACCACATACAGTTGATGATCAAAATCAAAATAGTGATAGACTATTTGATTATTGTTTATCTAACAACTTTGTCGTGTCCAACAACTTTTCCAAACACAAACGAGTGCATCAAACATCCTGGATGCACCCAGAAATAAAGAACTGGCACTTATTGGATTATACAATAGTCAATAGAAAGTTTCGATCAACGGTCGAAGATGTCAGATTTTTTAGAGGAGCAGCGGGTGGAGTTGGAACTGATCATCTTTTGATGCGGTCAAAAATCAAAATACATCTAAAATCAAGAAAGAAAATGAACCAACAACAATTCAGATTAGATCGGTCGAAATTAAAGGATGATAATATTTTATGATCATTTCAAAATGATAGTGAAAAGAAGCGTGAAGAAGTGGTAGACTCTAAAACTGATATTAATGACAAATATGCCGATTTCGTGAAATATATAAAAGATTCTGCAACAAAACATCGATATTTGCCTAAAGGAACTAATATAAAGAAAAACAGAATGGTTGACCGATGAAATAACGGAAAGTGTAAAGAAGAAATCCTCGGCTTCTCTCACCTGGCTACACCATCGTGGTACATCAAATGAGAGAAAATATAGAAATAAGTATGTTAAGATACGAAAACATGTGAAAATGTTCATTGATCAACGTCAAGTCGAATACTGGGATGAGCTGAGTGTAGAGATTGAAGAAGCTATCAACCAACATGATATTGCCACTGTCTATACAATAATTAGAAGATTGAAAGGCGGCAGACAAATCATTGAGCATATGCCAGTCATAGATAACAACGGAAGATTATTATTAAATTCTGGTGAAGGATTGGCTAGGTGGCGTGAGTATTTCGAAGAATTACTGAATGTGAACACCGTCATCGATCCCAGCATCATAGATTACATCTCAACGCCAACAACCACAAGAAAAGAGACAGCTCGGCAAGAGAAACCACCTCCAGTACAAGAGATATATCTGACATTGAAACAGATGAAAAATAGAAAAGCTCCAGCTAATGATGATATTACCGATGACATCTTGAAAGCAGGCGGAACACCAATATTGAAATGGCTTCATAGAACTTTTATGGACATTTGGCAGAACAAAGAGATGATGGACGACTGGACATCAGCTATACTAATTCGTTTGTTCAAGAATAAAGGGGACAAAAAAGTTTATAATAATTATCGCGGTATCTCTTTGTTAGTGGTGGCAAGTAAACTTTTCACTCGTGTGATTCTGAATCGTATTCAACTCTTAATTGATAAACGACTATTGGAACAACAAGCGGGATTTAGATCGAACAGATTTATAATTGATCAAATTTTTATTGTTAAAATGATAATGGAAAAGTGTCGAGAGTAGAATAGGCCACTATTCATGTGTTTCATTGACATTAAAAAGGCATATGACTCAGTGAACAGAGATCTACTTTGGAAAGTTTGCCGACACTATGGAATTAGTGATAAAATTGTAAGATTATTGACGTTAATCTACAACAATTCAAAAGCCACAGTGAGAATAAATGGAGAATTATCTGATAGTTTTTGTATTGAAACTAGTGTCATGCAGGGTGAAATTCCTTCTCCAGTGCTCTTTAACATTCTGTTCGATTTCATCATTCGGGAAGTGTTAGTCGAAGCGGCTGTGGCGAGAATTCAGTTGGTTTATGGAAGTAATGATTTTTTTCACGGTGCTCATGAAAAATATTCGAATTTTGAACTGGTATCTTTGATGTCTGCTGATGATCTTATCACAATGTGCAACACTATGCAAGATCTTGAAACTTTCATTAATGCATTTGAAAAGAGCACTCAGAAATACGGCCTGATGATGAGTGTTAAGAAGACATTCACTATGTCTCTTTCACAGCTGAAGGAAGATACAAATGGAAAGCTATTAACGAATCAACCATTGGATGATATTGATGCTAAGATCGTCATTAGAGGTCAAAAAAATAGAAAAAAACAGACACATTTATGTATTTAGGTTGTTAGATTTCAAGGGACCAACGTGCAGATCGTGAAATTGAGTCACGAGTAATGAAAGCAACAACAGCCTTCAACATGCGCCGGCATGTTATATGGTATAGAAAAGCAATGTCTATTGGTGCCAAACTACGAATTTTCAGAGGTTGCATTCTTCCTGTGCTTCTCTATAGAAGTGAAATCTGGTGTTTGACATTTGGCACAAGAGAATAAAATCAACGAATTTTACATGAAGTGCCTGCGTACTATACTTGGTCTCAATTTAGGGGACCGAATGTCAAATCAAACAATCTTAAAGCTCTCAGGACAACAGTTAATTGACAATATAATGAGATGCAATCGGCTCAGATGACTTGCCCACGTAAATAGAATGGAAATGGAATCGGGTCAAGCAATGTTGATGAAAAAAGTCATGTTTTCCTATTTTGCTAAATGTAAACATCCAAAGAACATCGGGATAAGGAAGCGATGGGAAGCGAAAGTGATGGACGACATTGAGAAGGTTGGGGTAAAGAACTGGAGCAAGGACACTACGGACAAAGACAGATGGCGAGAGATGATCAATAGGCATGTACGAATCAGCTGGCCACATTAAAAACATTGTATATGAATACAAAGAATGTGCCAATCTCAGACGAAAAGAGGAATTAACTGTATTGAAGCAGAAAACAGTAGCACAGATCTTGGTTAAAGATGTAAACGGAAAGTACACATATTCAAGCTGCAATCGACAATTCAAACCGCAAGGAATAACCGAACATGTGAGAGCTTGCGCGCAAACATGATGTTTGAAACACAAAGTGACAATGAAGTAGAG